CTCTTATTTCACAGTCTATTTAATATGCATGCAGCTGACTGAAACGAAAAGATGATGGGAATCCTTACAGTAGAATTGAGCCCAGCTTCAAGGAATGCTCCAACAATATATGCAGTGAGTAAAATGTCCTCCTCCTCCTCCTCTTCTTCTCCCTAAACACAAAGGAACAATGAGTCCTACAGGATGGTAGAGCACAAAAGAACAGCTATCCTTCTGAAGTGAGACAAAGTATAAAAGAAACACTGAAAACAATTACCATTATTCATAAACACTTGACAATGTGTAATTTTTAAATTAAGTTGTTACTAATCATGCTGTTTGAATAAAAATTCATCAAGATCCAATGTAATAATGAACTAAAACATACAATTAATCTCAACTATACTTAATCACATATATAATTGCAGTATAAACTTAGAAAAACATTTATGAGTTATGTGGTTTGCAAACTGTGCATGAAAATACTCTGGGGAACTTATGAAATAAACCAGTATTCAAACAAGAGATTCTGATTCAAAAAGTCTGGAATACGATATAGGGAAATGAATTTTAATGGGTGTTCTCGTGATACTGAAGCAAATAACATTCATAAGGCATTTAGGGTCCACTGATCTAATATTAAATATTTTTTTATTTATTTAAGCAAAAGGTGACTTCTCTTTAATATATATGGAGAGGGAAGAGAGAGAGAGAGAGAGAGAGAGAGAGAGAGAGAGAGAGAGAGAGACTTCTGAGGAGCTCAGTTATCAAGGTGTAAATAACTGGAGATGTCGGGCCCTAAAATAAGATGTGGGCACCCAAAGCGCACACTTAAGCTGTAGCAGGCTGTATCACCCTTCCTCTGCAATGCAGGTTTTTATTTTTCTCCTTGATTCTTTCTCTGACCCAATTCAAAATGGACACACACAGAGTTATGGAAAAAGGATTGGGTAAGATCAGACAAACTGATGTAGGGACCAGTAATGAAGCCATTAAGAAGAAATGTGGAGATGTGTTAGAAGAGAACATGAAAAATTCTGTTTTCCCACATAGGAACAAGTGCTATTCTCTATCAGGGGCCTCCTATTGTGAGGAGTAGGTTTGACATCATTCAAAGGCATTTTTCCATACTACATAATCGTAAGGCAATGTGAAAACAATTCACATTAAGATCAAATACCATCCGGAGTTGCCATTGGCCTATACTTTGAAGTGGATTAGCTTTACATTCCCAAAATCCGAAAATAGAAGTGGTGATTATGAGGAAGGACACAAGAGAAAAGCCCAGGATATCCCAGAGGCGATCAGGGCACGAGAAAGTATCACGAGCAGGGATTTATAGGGGGAAATACAAATGTTAGGAGAATCAAGGACACAGAGGAGGGGACGGAGGTGGGCAGCAGTCCACAAAGGCAAGCAGCAGGGAGAACGCTAATGATTTTCCTAAAGATGGACAGACAAGGGAAGGAATGATTATTGTCAAAGACAGACAGCATCTCATCTGCCTTTTGACTCAGGGCAAGCTAGGCCTTCGTGCTTTGACTTGAGAAGGTATTGGGAGAGTGCTTCATGGAAACAATGTAATTTACTAGATCTTTCCCCTGATTTTTTTGGTCACCCACGCATAGGAATAGGAATGAATTACTTACTCAAGGCCCCTACCTTTAGTATATTTTCTGGCTCCAAACTTATGAATGTTTCCTCTCTAAGTTCCGTTTCTCTCCCCATCCTCCTCTTTCTAGTTTATATCTTAAAATAGATTGCTTCTATGGAAGGGCTAAAGACAGTAAGGCAAATAATAGATTCATGGGGAGCTATATCTAGCAGGGATGCTGCTGACACACCACAGGCCAATGACTTCAGCAGACTCAGAAAAGGTAATATTCACAAGAAAAAATATTCATGTTCCAGGCTAGTTTGGCCAGAGGCAGGGAAGGTAGGCAAAACAAAGGAGCAAGGAAAACATGCTACTGTTAATCTCTCACCTCCCAGGCATTGTGGAAAATCTTGCCATCACTTTTAAAGGCACCATTGCTTTCCTGTTTGCTTGAAAGCCAGATGAAGGTCTGTTGTTGAACTTGTTCATCAATGAAAACATATTTCTTCATTCTCTCAAATGTCTTAAAAGTAAGGGCACTGAGCCTGTAATGATCACCCGTTGGACAAAAATTGAATAAGAAGGAAATGATAATGTCAGCTACTCCACACATTCATCAGCATTGTCCCCTTTGGGTAATGGGTGCAAACAATTTGGCTAATGTTGACTAATGAGTATTGATAGCGGCTCTTTCCTTTGGGGCAATAAGATGTTTTGAATAGCAATATGTGAAAATAAGGGTAGGTAATTTCCAGCGTGTTTATACACTCAGTTCTCAACACAGAGTTCATTAGATTATCCTTATGTGGTGAGAGAGTGGGTGTAACTAGATGCTTTGGGGACATCTAGTTTTCCTCTGCTGAAGGACCATGGGACTCTGAGAAATGCAGACTAAGTTGTGGCATTTTCCATGGCGTTAACAAGCTACGGAGGTAGAGGAGCTCTCATTAAATTTGCCATGAGACTCTAGGTATACTGCATTAGAACTGGAATAACCAACTGTTTTTGTATTATCTGATTCGCCTCTGTAAATTCACTCTGAAACCCACTTTGCTTTTATATTTCCACTGAACTCAATTGCTCTCATTCTCTCATAAGCCCTCTTCAGATCATTTTTACATTATTTAAAATTTTCACATCTCACCATATGCTTCCTTTCTGATTCCTCTGCTCAAACATGCTATATGAGCCATCCATGTTCTTGAAAGACAGCTGCTTTTGATAACCTAAGATACATTGTAGGAAATTATTTTTTTTTAATATAAGAAAGAAGAAAAAGGATGATGTAGTATATGAGCCTTGTGTTTTGGTGTTAGATAGACATAAATTACTAGATGATCATTTCAATTTAACTTCTGAAACTCAGGTTCTGTATCTATATTGAGAAAAAAATAACTTCTACCTTGTCAGGGTTTAATGATGCTATGTGACAATATGGGTATAACTGTAAGATAATACTCCCCCTCCCCCCAAAAATATATTACATGTGACTGAGCCTCGCTCAATAATTGGCATTTACAAAAAATTTCCTTAAGGTCATTTTTTGTTTGTGTTATCTTTCTGAAAAGAAGACCCAAATAAATCATACCTCTGACTTTTCCTTAACATCTCATTTTTACAAAGTTTATGCATTTTTTTCTGCACACAAATTCAATCACTTGATTGCAATGAAACACAATTGAAAGATACAGAAGTTGATAAATGAACCATTTCTAGCTACTATTAATAACAGCAACAGTGACACACAAAGTAGTTTGGCAAAATATTAGGCACTAAAAAAACCTGAACTCATAATTTGAAATGCTGCAGTGTTACATTGTGAAACCAAATGACCACACAGGTATTAAAGTCTAAAAAATCTCGAAAATACCAAAAACAAAACAAAACAAAAAAACAAACAAAAACATAGTTCAAACTCAGAATATACCTCAGTTCAGATCCATTTTTCCCCCACAGGACTACCTCATAATAACAGCTTTTTGAGATCTTGGTATCAGGAACTGATTTCATCTATTATGGGCAGAAATTACTTGAACCTTCTCACCGTCAGATAAGAAAGAGAAAGCCTTAGATTTAACTTCCTCTGTCAATTGTTGAGTATCTTGCAGGTAGTCAAGGACATAAGTATCAGACGCTAGCAGGGCAATATTCTGCTCTCCACTTCCACTGGGCATTTGCAGGAGAGTCTCCAGATTCTGCATCGCAAGTCCTAGAACATCCCCTAAAAATAGGAAAAGCAGAAAGTTACTACCACTTTAAGTTGGCATCTGAGCATTAATAACTACAGATTAAAGAGGCATAGTGAAAATAGAAAATATTTAAAAATTGAGTCTAAAAGGCGGAAACAAGGAAAACTTTCATGAAGTAATTCTGAAAAGGAGACAGATATGAAAGGTCAAACTAACGGGGTTTCTGGTATGAAAACTGTTTCTGAAAAATCTCATTACCAGAAAAAGAATGTTAAAAAACTGTGTTTGCTTGCTTCTTTGTTTTTGAGAAATTGACCCTATGAACTGCAATTCATCCCTTTCCCCAAAAGTGTTAATGTTAATGATAGATAAACAAGTTTTACTGTTGAAAAACAAAATTCTCCTATTATTGGGGATATTTCCAGCATTTATAACAAGCAAAGATTATGCTGATTCTCCAAAGGGGAATTTAATATTTCATATTAATATAATACAACTCTTTGTTTTCTAAACACCAACTATTGTCCACCAGAACAAATGTTTCCTAGAGACATAGATTTGAAAATGATGCTATAATTCCTTCAGATCCTCATATGAAAACAAGTTTAGAGAATAATCCTCAATAATAATTCTGCTCCAATGGATAGCATAAGAAAGATCTCTCCATCTTATTTTAAGAAAGTTTTACAGACCACCTCAGTCAAGACTTTTCAAATCATTGTGAAACACAAATTTAACCAACTTACCCACAACAGTGATGAAGGCCCTGGCTGATCCTTCTACCACATTATCTGGCAAATCCAAAAACACTGAAAGGGAGACATTAGTGCCTGGAAAGAAAATATCAATAAAATAAACAATGTGATGGCCTCCTTTCATAAACAATAGAAAAAGACTTGTGGGACAAACATATGATAAAATATATTTCTTTTAAAAAATTTTTACAAGTTGCTTGTTAGAAGACATAAATTGAGGTTTTGATCTAGTTTAGAATAACAATACATTCAAAAAATGATATATGCATCTGTATGTTAGATAATGGCCACTATTCCGCATAAGTTTAGTGCCTATACTACTTAAGTATAAAAAATGTCAAAAACTGCTATGACATATAACACAGCACACACACACTAGGTAAATCTTGGAGATACCTATTAGTCATTAAAATCATATCATTATCAATCAGATAAAACAGTGCTGTGAGGCCATTAAGCAAGCAATTGAGGGGCAGTGATTGTTTCATCCCAAGAGTACAAAAGCAAAGGTTAGATTATGTGTAATTTGGGCATAATCTCGATTTACCACTGCCCCACAGTTTGTCATAACCAAACTGAGAAGCAGAAAATACATAAAATAGGAAAAATAGTTTGAGGCAGACCAATGAGTTGGGTGAACTAAAAATAAAATAAAATAAAATAAAATACCATAAACACTATAGTTTTTTATGGCAAAAATTATACTGTAAACTTAGGAAGTGAAAAAAATAATCCCCCATTAGGTATTTAGAATGAAATCTCTGGGGTACTCAACATGACAAATGTTGATAACTAAAAGATCCTCTTACCTTTTGTATGGATAAAGAAACTCTGAGTCATTTCTTTTTCAATACCTTCAGGCTGTCAAAGAGCAAACAAAAACAAGCACAGGGTAATGAGTCTGGGTGATCTTTCCATGAGGAAAGTAACCAAGCATCAGCTTACATAGGGTATGGCTGGGCCTGTTTGCCCTCAGGAGAAGGTCCATTCACCGTCCCCTTCTGTTTATATCTGGAAGCCACTGGACATCACCAACATCCACTTTCGGCCCTGTGCTCCCATGTTTTGGATAAAGATAACTTTGTTGTCATTTGGGGACATGACAGATGCTGACACTGTTTAGCATCTCCAATAGACAAAGGTTTTTTGCAGGAAAGGATGATGGAAACTACATAGGATCGTAAGGCAAGAAGACTTGCCTTGGTTGGAGTCAATCAAAAAGGAGAAGGGAATGAAAATAAGTGTACAGGAAACATCATGCGTTAGGAGCAGACAAAAATCACCAAGCTTGCGTTAAGTGATGTTTTGCTATTCTGGGTCAGATGACATATCCTGTGTCAAAAGTAACTATGGTCAATTAACTCTCTTCAAAGAGAATGTCTTTTAATATTTAACCTATTAGACACTACTTCTCACCTGGAAGAGCTTGATAGCTTTGCATGCACATACCTCTACCAACAAACTTTTGACCACAGTATCTTCCCAGTTTAGATTTTGCTGCTCATCTTCATTTGGGCAAGCACTGCTTTGTCTGGACTCAGCAACTACAGTGATATTCACTTTACCTGGAAAACATCCCCAAACATACAGTAAATTGACCAGTGGGCCCTTCTATGATGGGAAATGATAAAGAGTTTGTGAACCATATGTTCAATTGGAGGAACTGAATTCTATCATATTTATGCTTAGACTAAAATACATTCTTTCTCCTGACAAGATATAATTTGGTATGTTCTGTTTTGCCTGTTTCAAGATTCCTTATATTAAATAAGTGATTCATTTACTTCATTAGAACTTGAGAAATTTTAAGGAAAAATAATAGTTCTGCAAAGCCAAGTGAGGAGATTCCTTGATATTGTTTATGTTATATATGACTATATGCGGGCATAACATGAGATTACCAGGGTCCTAACTTACCCTGAGGTCAAATAAACAAAAACAGGAAAATATGATATTGTGGAAAGGGCATTAGATTTAAATCAAGTGCGGGCAAGCAATCTATTTTTTTTTTAGCTCCCTGTAATATCAAGATCACATAATCTCCAGTTTCCTTAATTATAAAAAAAAATAAGAGGATTGAGAAATATAATTCTTTTGATTTAATATTACCTATTTGCCTATTTACCAATATGTATAACCAATATACTGTTCTTATTTGTTGTTGTATTTTGTTTCTTTTTAAGAAAGCCTTTGATATTTCCCCCTTACAACTTAATGCCATAAAGCCATACAAGTTAGTACAGTATTCTAACTCAATTGTCAGGGTAAAAATTTTGAAGACTTTGTGTAGTTAGAAAAATTGAGAAACAAAATCTAAAAGGAAAAGTAGTTTTAGGCAGATAAATATCACAGATGAACTAAAACGGTCTCATAAAAATACTGGTTGTTGGTAATGGAAGGAAATTTGACGTGGGGTAGTGAGCACATAATACAGGAGACAGATGATGTATTATAAAATTGTATACTTGAAACCTATAAATATTTTTAACCAATGTCACTTTAATAAATGATACAATTTTTAATTTTTAACTTTCAAAAATATATTTATTGATTTCAGAGCAGAAGGGAGAGGGAGAGATAGAAACATTGATGATAAGAGAGAATCATTGATTGGCGGCCTCCTTCATGCCCCCTCTGGGGAGTGACCTGCAACTCAGGCATGTGCCCTGACCAGGCATGTGCTGACCGGAAATCGAACCATGACCTCCTGGTTCATAGGTCGACGCTCAACCACTATGCCACACCAGCCAGGCACCTAATAAATTTTAAAAACTCAGAGAAATAATACAATAAATATGGAACATGAAATAAAGAAAATTTTATGCCACACCAGCCGGGCACCTTAATAAATTTTAAAAACTCAGAGAAATAATGCAATAAATATGGAACATGAAATAAAGAAAATTTTTGAATTTTGTGCACTGGGTCTTTAGACTATATATATAAAAGCCTAAGCAACCGTTACAACCAAACTACCAGAACAACTGGAACAACCGGACAACCAGCTGGTAGCTATGACACGCACTGACAGAGACCTTGCTGCTGGGTGTATACTTGAAACCTATAAATATTTTTAACCAATGTCACTTTAATAAATGATACAATTTTTAATTTTTAACTTTAAAAAATATATTTATTGATTTCAGAGCAGAAGGGAGAGAGAGGGAGAGAGAGAAACACTGATGTGAAAGAGAAACATCAATCGGTTGGCACAGGATGATGCTCAACCAACTGGGCTACAACGGCCTGGGCATCTCTCTCTCTAAAATCAATCAATGAGCCCTAACCGGTTTGGCTCAGTGGATGGAACATCGGCCTTAGGTCGACACTCAACCACTATGCCACACCAGCCGGGCACCTTAATAAATTTTAAAAACTCAGAGAAATAATGCAATAAATATGGAACATGAAATAAAGCATATTTTGATGACACTTAATTTTTTAAAATTAGTGATAATGATAATCATGCATCTACCACATCTATCATTCTTTGTTTTTTAGAATCCTTTTAGCTTTTCCCTTCCCTTGTTTTCAAGAAGATACTTGCAAATTCATTTTTCTATGTTGCAGGTAATATATACACCAAGACAATGCTTCTCAGTGTTTGATCTCCATCTAAGTGTTCAGGGTTTTGGTGTCTCATGATATCCATAATAATAAAGGCATAATATGCTAATTAGACCAGATGTTCTTCCAGATGACCTTCTGGGCCAAGCTGGAGCTACAATGGTCCTGGGTGCCAGAGGAAAGTTGGTGCCGGCTCCAGGAAGGAAGGCCTACTCTTACACAAATTTCATGCATGGGGCCTCTAGTATTTAATACATTTGCAAATCCTGACAATTGTAATTGAGGAGCAATTTTTGTATAAGCGACATGGGTTCATGCTGATAGGTGAGGAAGGAATAAGTGAGAAGTGAAGGAATTGGTCAGCATTAATGAAAATATGGTCTTCATTTGGGATAATATATATATAGATTTTAGAGATAATGCAATTTAGCATTTCATAAATTTTAAAAACTCAGAGAAATAATGCAATAAATATGGAACATGAAATAAAGCATATTTTGATGACACTTAATTTTTTAAAATTAGTGATAATGATAATCATGCATCTACCACATCTATCATTCTTTGTTTTTTAGAATCCTTTTAGCTTTTCCCTTCCCTTGTTTTCAAGAAGATACTTGCAAATTCATTTTTCTATGTTGCAGGTAATATATACACCAAGACAATGCTTCTCAGTGTTTGATCTCCATCTAAGTGTTCAGGGTTTTGGTGTCTCATGATATCCATAATAATAAAGGCATAATATGCTAATTAGACCAGATGTTCTTCCAGATGACCTTCTGGGCCAAGCTGGAGCTACAATGGTCCTGGGTGCCAGAGGAAAGTTGGTGCCGGCTCCAGGAAGGAAGGCCTACTCTTACACAAATTTCATGCATGGGGCCTCTAGTATTTAATACATTTGCAAATCCTGACAATTGTAATTGAGGAGCAATTTTTGTATAAGCGACATGGGTTCATGCTGATAGGTGAGGAAGGAATAAGTGAGAAGTGAAGGAATTGGTCAGCATTAATGAAAATATGGTCTTCATTTGGGATAATATATATATAGATTTTATAGGTCATGCAATTTAGCATTTCTATTGTATTTTGATCACATTATGCTTTTATACAAATGAAAGGCAGTTTTGTTTTACGCAAACATTAGCAACCAGATATTAGTTAATAAAAATAAGACTTTTTAACTGGGAATTTTAAAAAAAGTAGTATAAAAATTGTGATGGAGAAAATTGTTTGTATAGACAATTTAAGAAAAATAGGGTCAATAAAAATGGGTTGGTTTTCCACCAGAGTTTGGCATAGGCACATAGCTGCTTACCCAACTTCTTAGGTATAAGAGTCCAGACATATGTTTTCCTCTCTCCAGCTTGAATAATCTCACTGTCATTGTTTTTAGGGGTGTTGATATATGCCTCGAAATTCTCAGATTCTTCCAGTTCAACAGAAATCTAAAAAAAAAAAAGTCATGGCAATGAGGGTGACATGCTAAATGTTTTGCTATTATTATTCCTCTTCCCAACTTAAGAAAATTCTGCTTTACCTATTTTAAGTTAGCAGAGATAAAACATAACCAAACGACTCCTCTTACACAAAGATAAAAAAGTCAGAACACACATCACTATGAATTGACATTCTCAAAGCAGCATTTAAACCACTGCTGTGAATTAAAGCAGTTGTTTTCGTTTGAGGACTATGGAAACAAGTAATAACCTTATAGTACCATTTTGCATTGGAGAATGAAAAGAATGTGGCCATATTCCAGGAAAATATTAAGTACCTTTTTTTGCCCTTGTTAGATTTGGACTCCAGAGCAAAGGGAGCAACTTACCTCTGCACATGTATTCAGGTAGCTGAAGACACTGACAATCACATCGGACTCTTCGTTTCGAACGACTGAATAGGGGAGGGTCACTTCAACGAAGAAAGGTTGGGAGGCTTCCAGAGCAATTGTGGATGAAATGCCAAACCCTGCATCACCGTTCACACAGAAGCCGTTTGCCTCCCAGCGCGTTATAGTGTCAGGGATGCGGAATGAAACATTTGCTGAACCCGAGGAACTACAAGGACAGATTATTAGCAAAATGAGATTTTTGTCTAAAGTGGGACCTAAAAATCAGCCCAGAGCAAGCAAAAATAAATAAATAAATAAATAAATAAATAAATAAATAAGCAAGCAAGCAAGCATTAACGAAGGGTTACAAATGAGTTATAGCTGTATTTCTCTGAACTTTAACCTTACAAAAGTCACATTCCTTTAAACAAGGAATTGTGTGTTTTTTTTCCCTTTATTAAATTGAGGCATGTTACATCTTTATGCATGAAATTAATAAATGAAAAAAAATGCCGAAGAAAAACAAAGGAGTCAGCACATACAAATGAATGGTATTAGATAATTTTACAGATGTGGTACTGCTTTATATACCCAGAAATAATGTTTAATAAATAATAACAAAAAGAAAATAGAAATAAAGACACATCAGAAAGAGAATTGTTGAAAGCTCACTCGACACTGACGAGGTCCCATATCCATGTCTCTGGAAAGTTCGTTCTTACTGTTTCTGTTATAGCCCATTCCACAGGGCCTAAGTCCTCACTTGCGACTTCACCAGGTAAAAGAGAAGAGAAATGCTTTATTTTGGAAGAATGAATCTACGTGTTTCAATGACACACACCCATAAGCTACGTCCTTAACCGTATATGCTCAGTGTGAAGCAGTGTAAGAATTTGCTCCAGAGGCTCACTGTCAATAAACGGGCGTCTCAATCTAGGTATCAGCATTTTGATGCTCATATCGCTCCCATTATTAACAACAAATAGCCTACATCGGTGATGGCGAACCTATGACACGCGTGTCAGAGGTGACACGTGAACTCATTTTTCTGGTTGATTTTTCTTTGTTAAATGGCATTTAAATATATAAAATAAATATCAAAAATATAAGCCTTTGTTTTACTATGGTTGCAAATATCAAACAATTTCTATATGTGACACGGCACCAGAGTTAAGTTAGGGTTTCTCAAAATGCTGACACGCCGAGCTCAAAAGGTTCATCATCACTGTTCTAGGGCCTCTTGAACTCAGCAAGTCTATCCTTGTATAAAGTTGTCAGGCCTTTCATTTTTCTCAAGTGGTGTTTCTGATATCCATCTTCAGGATCAACCCCACTTAAATTACTACTCTAATCCTCAATGGTAGGCCAGAGGGATTTAAAAGATGTGACTCAAGTGTTTTCAGATCTGGCATACAACTTTGATTTGGGTTCTATTCTGATGACCTTGTTTCATTTTGTTTCCCTGATGAAATTTCTGTATTGTAAATCTACCTAATTGCCTTATTCATCTAAGATTATGACTGAGTTTTGTGCTTCCAGGTCTTCCACTGGTAAATGGACTAGTATCTGAACACACTGCTCTCATGCCATCTGTTTGGTTATCTGGGAATCAAAATATCCTCTGCCTTGAATTCTGTGAATTATGGTCTATACATAATAAGGATATAACGTCCCATAAGGACCCCTCATTCTCTTGTATCATACTCACTTATAATGACTGTCCTTCCATATCACCACACATTACCTGCTCCTATACACTTCTCTGTTCTACCAATTACGTTCTACCAATAAAAATAAACTTCTCATGTTTGAAGCCAGTTCTTCCTATTAGCCTGAACCATTCCCATCCTGCATTATTCTGCCTATTTTGCAGGATGTCTAATTGTAGCCAAAAAGATGGCATAATTCACAAGTAAAATTCTATTTTTTATAATTTTATCCCAAATACTCCTTTGGCCATCTCCCAAACACAGAATTCTAGATTACTCACATGCAATTTTAGGTGGGGGGGCACTGTACATCGGTTCACATAGGGGTCCAATTAGCAATGATCTCTCGGAGAATGGCCTCCACTCTACTGCACATATTTCTGGCTTCCGATAATGGAGATTGGTAAAGGCTTTCAGACCCATGGACTTCAAGTAAACAAACAACAAAAGATAAGTTGTGCATTTCCTTCACACAAGACCTAAAACAGGTCCATCAGCTACATTATAGTGTTAAATATACAGATTTCCTCTCCTAGCAAAGGTCTCTAGGATGTTAGAAATTAAATCACTTGTATTTAATGTATGAAAAATATCTAATTTGAATAAAAAATGACAGTCTGATTTCTCCACCACTTATTATGTGCTAGAATCTTGCTAAATATTTAACATCATTTTTCATTTAATTTTAAAGGAAAAATACGAACAGCACTACTATGATCCTAATGAATATCAAACATATACACACTCACACACAGATATACAATGTATAGTTAGTAATTTGAAGATCTGGGACTTAAACTAACGTCTGTCTGATTCATGCCCTTTTTCCTTTATATCTGTGACTTCAATGATAAAGATCCTTTCATGGGGTCTCAGCATATTTAATTGTAGCCCAGACAATATTCTAGACTCTTTATTTGACTATAATCTTGCTAAGTATTTAACATCATTTTTCATTTAATTTTAAGGGAAAAATACAAACAGCACTACTATGATCCTAATCAATATCAAACATATACATACTCACACACAAATATACCATGTATAGTTAGTAATTTGAAGATCTGAGTCTTAAACTAAAGTCTGTCTGATTCGATGCCCTTTTTCCTTTATATCTGTGACTTCAATGATAAAGATCCTTTCATGGGGTCTCAGCATATCTAATTGGTAGCCCAGACAATATTCTAGACTCTTTATTTGACTATTTCTGCATAAGGTTTACCACAACAAATTGAAGACTATCTCATTACTTCAAACATGAGGTTTTATATTTTTAGCTGCCACTTAATTTATTTTCAACAAAAGAATCAACAGAAATGAATGTCTCTTTTTTGTAAGACAACTTTTGAGTATTCTTTAAGCAGAATACTGATCCCTATCTCAAAGAATAGAAAAAAACTACATAAATAATAAAACACAGATATGCAATATGAGCATTATAATTGAGATAAAATAAATAAAAAAAATTTAAATGTTCTTACCCTGATAATATCATAGGTGTCTCCATCTTCATAGTTGCCTGCAGGTATGTAATACAGACCTTTGTAAAACATATCCTTCTGGGGAATGCAAGGGTCTTGTTTGCCATCGTCAAGGTTGAGACCATGATAGAAATAACCATAGAGTTCTGTATTTGGAAGCAGGTTATACAACTGTGGGAAAAAATCACATGGTTTTCAATGATTTTAAGCACTCATTTTATTTCTATAAAATTGGAAAATTTGTGCCATAACCATTTATTGTGGTTTTGTTTTTTAAAAAAATATTGAATCTATTTAATCCAACACTTTTGGGTCATTCTTCCACCAATTATCAAGAACTGGAAAAAAATGAATTCCAACAAAACTGCTGTAAGGTAAAAGAGAAATAAACTCTAAATTATTAGGAGCTTAAGGAAAAAAATAGTCTGAAAGAAAATGTTAAAAAGTAGCATAGGAAAAAAAGAGAATAAAGATGAGAGAAAGCATGAATTAAAACAGGTCATAGGCAAAGTGGTTGAATTGGAAAGCAGGCAGAGATGACGCATATTTATAAAGTTTTAGTAGAAGGGGGAAAGAAACAATGGAAAAATTAAAATTTAGAATTATAATTCAAGACGAATGCTGGAAATAAAAGATCTATGTTTACACATTGTATGGGTCATTGTGTACTTAGGAAAATTTCCCCCAAACAATAAATTCTGACAGGTATTTTACTAAAACTAACTTAAAATTTAAAGGAAAAACAGCCCTCAAGGCCTTCAGGCAAAAAAGATTAAATAACTTATAATAAGGGTAAATGAGTTAGACTTATGTCAGAAGTCTTAAAAGCAATATTCAAAGCAAGGCAATAGGGAAGTGACATTTTTAAGATACTTAAAGAAAGCAGAAACCTAGAACTTAATATACAGATAACCTGCCCTTCTCATAACAAAACTTTAGTAAAACATTTTTACATTGGAAAAATTACACAGCTTATGTCTTGATTCATGGTTATTAGATATTGCTATTAATTATTTTTTATAGATTTTTATGTAAAACTAGATTTACTATAGAACGTTAAAGGCAAAATACAAAATTGCATTTTTTCAACAAGATCTTATTTGTGAAATATATATGCCTCTCTCACAGGAGCACACCTCTGCTTTACCCGTCCCCTTCTTTTTCCTCTCAGGTGAGTTATCCTTGCCTTTCCCTTTTCTAAGCTCCAAAGGCCCCTTTTTTGCCTCCGTAGCTTGCTTTCTAAGCCTTCACTGCTCAGCTCGCTTACTTTCACATCTGTTACTTTCTAAATAAACTTTCACTTATACTAGCAATTTGAATAAAATAAATAAAAATTACAACAAAAATGTACCTATGTCTAACTTTTACAATTATGAGTGATTTTTAAAACATTTTCTCTTTTATCCTTTTATTTTGCACATTTTCTACAATACACTGGTGCTGAATGTTTGTGTCTTCTCAAAATGCGTATGTTGATATCCTAATGCCCAATGTGATGGTATTAGGGGCTGGGACCTTTAGGAGGTGGTTAGGTCATGAGGGCAGAGCCTTCAAGAATGATATTAATGCCCTTATAAAAGGTCCTCAAGAAATATCCCTTATTCCTTCCACCAAGACACAAGGAGAAGTCTACCACCAGGAAGAGTCACTGCACCTGATTGTGCACGCATCCAGATCTCAGACTGAAATATTTGTGACTTGTAAGCTACCCAGCCTGTGGTAGCCCACATGCTACAGCAGCCCAACTGGAGTAGGACAATAGGCATAATTTTAATAATACATTTTTGAAATTATTAAATTAGTTTTAAACATGATCATAAATTCCTAAAACAAACAAATAAAATTGAAACAGACTCAAAGGAACAGAGAACAGACTGATAGATGCCAGAGGGGAAAGTTGGTGTGAAATTCTGGGATTGCTGGTCTGAAAATGCTTATGAAAATATAAGATGAATCAATAGATTATGACTTTAAATTGTAGCCAAGCATATCTTTTGTTGTTGTTGTTAATCCTCACCTGAGGATATTTTTCTATTGATTTTTAGAAAGAGTGGAAAGGAGGGGAAGAGACACACAGAGAGAGAAACATTGATGTGAGAAAGACACATCAATTGGTTGCCTCGGACCCTGACCAGGGCTGGAGATCAAGCCCGCAAGCTAGGTATGAGCATCCATTGACTGGAATCAAACCCAGGACTCTTCAGTTCTGGGGCGGATGCTCTATCCACCGAGCCAAACCCTCTAGGGAGCCACGCATATCTTTCAACACAGAGATTTAACTCTAGGTTTCCACATACATATAATTACCTCTATTACCTTTTCTCAAAATCACATTATATATAATCCCTACCCTGTTATAACTATCTACTGAATTCTGTATTGTTTTAAGTGCTGGGTCTGATGAGAGAAATAATTAAGTATATAATCCATGAAGGAATAAAGGAAGAGAATATTTGATTTTTCAATACGTTCCATCTCAAAAATGTCATCTGAAGGGTGAGACTTGCAGGAGTTTAGATAAAAGTTGGAAAATCAGAGAGCTCACACTGTCAGCTGACAGCTCTTCTTCCGATTTCAGTAGAAGGACGCTTTTATCCACAGCCCGGAGAGCGCAGAAGGAGTCAGGGGCTGCTTCTAGATAGAGGCTGATGTTGGAGCCAGGGAGTCCCTGCTCCTCAGAGAAGTTGATGTTAACCTGAAAGTGAGGAGAAAAGAATGCGAGTAAGATAACTTTATATGAATATAACTTGCATATTCTCCATTTTTTCCCAAGTACATCTTTATAGATTTCTGTACCTACATTTTTCCGGCCTACTATCACCCTCGCTTCCCCTCCAGGGACATCCTCCCATCATCTCAGGATTGACATTGCTGCCAAAATTTATTCATTCTGTTTGGCGATTCTATTATCCCCTGATCATTTAATTACACCAACATTTATTGTGAGAGTCCCCTGTAAAGTTAATAGGAGTGGGATGGCAGGGAGAAAAGTGCTCACCCCTCTCATTCAGGACCAGCAAGAAATAGAAAAAAACATCACCTTGTTTTTAAAGGCTTTCTCAATCTGGAATTTGACAGTGTCCGCCACAATTTCCCCGCTGGGGTGAAGGGTGTAGACGAGCATGATGGCCACAGGAGCCAGGTCAGCGCTGATGTTGATGGGGAACGAGAACTGTCCATTCCAGGCTGTGTGAACAGGAGATGTCATCGACGGGTGCAATGCCAGAAGGCCCCTGGCTCACGGGGTACACTTACATAAAAGGGAATGGCTTATGGATAGAAAGAGCAAATTGGGCTTTACTCTAAAGACAAATGAATTAAATAATGGAAACTCTAGATACCAATATCAACACTGCCAAATTGAGTCAATAATGAGATTTAGGTTTTGGGCATCACTTTTCTATAATGTACTTAATAACCTGGCAATAATAGAAAATGTCTGAAATTTCCTTCATCAAATATTTAGTAAGTTATGTTGGACCACATTAACTAGTGCCCTCCATTCACAAGTGGTAATGTTAAGCACTCTCCTAGCCTAACCTTTTGACTCTAGCACTATAACATGTTCTTAAAAATAAAGAAAAATGAAGGTGGAGTACATATTTAAAAAATGTATTGTAAACACCTTTGTCTGTGATTTCCGTTTGTCCACTGAGCAAAATAGCCCCTTTTGCCATCACCTGTGAAGCAAAAAGAAAACACAATAGCTGAAATCATATTATTTAATATTTCATAAAATTATTAAATAATGAACAATCTAGTGATAATTCTATAATTCTGAACAATCTAGGGATGTGTCTGTAGGATAGGATAGTTTCCATGAACCGATAGTAAAAATGGAGTTTGCAAAACTTGGAAAAGAACAGAGAAAGTCACTACACTTTATTAAGAGTATATTATGTGCTAGAAACTTGTTAAATAGTATCCAGTGCATTGAGTAAGAGCTGCATAAAGCTCTGAAATTGTCTAGCCTGCCTGGCTTTGAATAAGCCAAGTCATTTCAATTCTTTGCCTTTGTTATTTTCTTTGTAAAATTGAGCTACTCAGAAGGGTGATTAATGAGTTGACACATGTAAAGCCCTCCTCACACTGTCTGACACAAACTACTGGCCCTAGTAGATGTCTTACTGTTTCCAATTACAAATATACAGCTGAGGCAGCTAAGGCTTAGGAAGTTTAAACAATATGTCCAATATCAGCCAACTTGCTTGAAAACTAGGAGAAGGTGGAGGATTTTAATTAGGAGTCATAATTTCCAAGTCGGTAGCTTTTCACCTTTCAATATGCCTACTAGAGACAAGATGAATAAATATAGGGACAGAACAAAAAGGGCTAATTTCTTTTAATATTTATCAAAATCAGCTTTCCACTTAGTCTCTGGTATCTGCCTACTATTTTACTCTCACAAAGGGGCATAACTACTTACTTGATGTGAGTTATAATTAAAGTCTTAAAATAGCAGACTCAGAAGAATAAGTTGTTCAACCTTAGGGAAATTGCCTGAATCTTTTTTATGTGTTCGTTTATTTGTTCCTGAGGTTTTTTTTTTTTTTGTTGTTGTTGTTTTTTTTGTTTTTTTTAATGATGAATTTCTCACTAACTTTTAAAGGGAGGCTGGGAGACCTCCTCAGACTGGCATGCATGACTGATGGACACGTTCTAAACTGTACCATGCTAAGCAGACAGACAAGATCCAAGAATCCACCAGCCAAGACTTACCAAATAAAAGAAGTTTATATTTGACTCTTCCCTGTACGCTTCACTGTTTAGGGAGTAATGCACATTCACAATCTTTTGTTGATTGCATCTCAGCTGCTTTGGTTCAGGAACAATCTTCAGGAAGCTGTTGGTTCGGGAGTAAAAGCGTGGGACTGATATACGGGCATCCAAATACTCAGGCGTCAACCATGTGGGAACATAGCAGTTCTTCGGGTGAACAAATGTGGCCTGATCAGAGAAAAGAAAGCAAAGGATCTGAGCGCTATCTCTCAAGGACAGTAATTACTACCAAATGAGAGACTTCTGATCCCTTCAAAGCAGAGAGAAACCTCAGCTTGTGGCTGACTTTCAACATTAAGTTATTGGAAGTTAAAATAATATCAGCACTCTCCTCTTCCTGTATACAAAACATGGCCATAATTGTATGTCTGTTTCATTAGGCTTACGATGAAATATTTATTTTTACTTTGTAATTGAGGTCAGAGATGAGCCTTAAGGTCCTGTGTCTTTCAGCTACACTTAAACATTGATAAATTGTTTAATTGTAAAATTCTGTTTAAGAAGCAGGAAAAGAGAAATCATAGTGTCAAGACTCCTAATCTATGCGTAAAATGATCAAAGGAAAAGAGTCAAATAATTTTCATGAGCTATTTCTAGTTTCTCAGAGGAAAATAAGTTGCTATAGAAGCCTATATAACAGTGGTTCTCAACCTGAGGGTCGCCAACCTGTGGGTCGCGACCCCTTTGGGGGTCGAACGACCCTTTCACAGGGGTTGCCTAAGACCATTGAAAAACACATATATAATTAAATATTGTTTTTGTGATTCATCACTATGCTTTAATTATGTTCAATTTGTAACAATGAAATTGGGGGTCCCCACAACATGCGGACAGTATATTATTATTCAGCAACAAATATTAATGGAATACTGATAAATGCTACAACATGGAAGGCCCTTGAAAACATTATATAAAAGCATAAGCAACTGTCCAACCGGTAGCTATGACACACAATGATTTGACTGTTTGACCAAGCTTTTGACCAGTAGCTATGATGTGCACTGACCACCAGAGGGCAGATACTCCAACCAGTAGGTTAGCTTGCTGCTGGGGTGTGGCCGATAGGGACTGGGAGAGATGTGCTGGACATGCCCTGGAGCCCTCCCATGGTTCCTCCCCGGCTGGCCGGCCCCAATCGGCCCCAATTGGGACTGGGCGGACACACCCTGCATGAATCCATGTACCAGACCTCTAGTTTATAAAAATTATGGGCTATTATTATCTCATCCTCTTGAATAAGTATTCTCATGTATTATCTAATGAACAAGCAAATATATAAAATACCCTAAATTTTGAAACCCTGTTAAAATACATTCTCAATATAAGTTATCTTTTAAGAGATTCCTAACGTTCAAAATTCCTAACATTGGAATCCTCTGTGGGATCTTGTCTACTCTTTGATGTCTTACTTTCAGGTTGAACTCCGGATCAAATATATCTGAAGTGTCAATGGATAACTGAGCTTCACCATTCTCGTCTGTGGTGTAATTTCCAATAAATTTGTCATTGAGCTCCAATTGCAATAGTTTGTTCACCATCGGGACATTATTAGGACCAGAAAATTTAAGCTGTACAAAAAAAAGAGAGAGAGAGAGAGAGAAGCATTGATTTTTAAAATTCAAAATGTCACATCTCTACTGAGAAGAAATGTTCTGTTCATAAATGTAATCATTTATTGTAACTTTCTTAAATTCTGACAGATGATCCATTAAGTACATATATAATATGGAAACAGCTATACTTTTATCTATCATTTTCTTTTAGCCTAGGACTTTTCCCAGTATGTCAGATGTAGAAATGTTGCAATGTGTTATGAAAGTAGGAAAAACATGTTTAGAAAATTTCAAAGGGCAATCTATGGTCCAAGAAAGTGAAATGAGAACATATATATTTTTAGTCAAGCCTACTGTGCCAAAAAAGGGAATTCCTCTTCTATAGAAAGGGTCCGTGTTCTCAAAGTTCACTGTCCCAAGAAATGAAGAGATAGAAACAGGAGCTTTTTCACTGATCTGCACACCTGTAACAAATGAAAAATACTGTTAAGGAAGATGAATCATTTGATGTGGAATCTTATGAATTTCTCACTAACTTTTGCACCTGTGATGTTCCCAGTTGTATTAGATCAGAGATTGACAAACTTGTCTTGTAAAGGATCTGACAGTGATTATTTTAAGCTTTTGGGGCACATGGCCTCTGTCACAACTGCTCAACTTTGTTGTTGTAGCTCTTAAGCAAGGCAAACAAACTATTCCAAGTTGAGTGTAGCATTTACATCATACTTTTATTTTAAATATTATTAGAAAAGCCTTATTCAGAAACAACCTTCAAGCTGACCTATGAGCAAATGTACTCCACTTAACTCTACTGAGCAATTAATGATCTGTAGTTGGTGAGTGTTACTAACTCAATAAACTTCTTTCCAGTAAGCTGCGTATGTCCTCAGGTTGCCAGTAAAATACAACCATTACCTGTCCCGGTTTCTGTCACAGTCACAGTGATATGAAATAACATGGAAAATCCAGAACGGTAGAGTTGGAAGACTTTTGTATTTACAATTTGAGAAACACAACCATTTTCCAACTGAAAAATAAAGAGAAGATACAAAGAAAAAGTTAGGGATCCCAAAGTCTTTAAAGAATATGGAATTTCAGCACAGATACTTATCTCCCTCCACCACCCAATGGCTCCATCTCACAAACTTGTTGAAATGACTACAGAATTACCAAAGATGGCGGGAGGTAGTTTTCATCACCAATTAAAACAAAGTAAGGAGCTATTGCATATTTTACAGATGTCAGGGTTATTATCCTGGAAACAATGTGGAAGGGAACAAGTTAAAAAATAATCTGGTGAACAAAATAGGAACAGACTGACAGATCTCAGAGGGGAATGGGGTAGAGGGGGGACTGGATAAAAGACGGTGAAGAATTAGTCAAAGAACATATACGCATAGCCTATGGACACTGACAACAGTGTGGTGAAGGCTGGTGGGGCGGACAGAGGGAGCTGGGGAGAGGGAGTGGGGAGGGGGAGGAGTGAAGGTGGGCAAAGAGGAGGAAAATGGGGGACATTTTTAATAGTGTCAACAATAACAAATTTTGAAAAGATAAGCATAGAACTGAATGATATTTAAAAAAATGAACTTCAAATCTAAAGTAATAAATGCAGATACTCTGAATTGCAGATGTTTGCAAATGACCTTTTTTATAAGAACAGTTCTAGGTTGCATGGGGAACACTATGAAGGATTCATTTATTTAAAGGATAATTAATGATTCTCCAAAGAAAGATCAGGGAGGTCACCTAGACAAAATATTATAACACAAGGGAGCCAATCACAGCTTTCAATTCTAAAAATGTATTATTCTATAGGAGGGTAACAATTTACATAGCCTAGAGAATAAGAGACTATTGTTAAACATTGCATTTTCTTTCTCATTCTTTACCTTACCTATCTGCAACCACTATTATTCACAAGATGAAAAGTGTTGTATCCCTTTTATAAATGAAATCAAAGATAGAATAATAATAAACTGAACTTTTTTGAAATAAAGATTATGAACTGTACCTGCACAATAAAATGTTCACAAATTTCATTGTTGTCTCTTTCACAATCCCCAAAGGAAAAATATTCTCTGCACACCTTGATTTGGGCTTTTCCTTGCACGGGTTGGTCAAAGGTGTACCTAGTAGGAGGTGCATTGGTAATTATTAATGAACAAAACCATGGTAATATTTTATGGTCTTCTTCAGAAATTACATATGAAATGTCTAAACTATGACTACTTCAATGACCAAATTCTATTAGGAATTCTCACTTCTTGGTGATATCATCCCCACAGAATTTAGGTTAAATTTAGGTTAAATTAGGTATTTGATCAGGCAGCAGGATTCAGCTGCTTTTTAAATAAAATTCAAGGTAATGTAGACTCTAAAATTTCAGTGAATAGGATTTAATGATTAAGTTTAGTCTTTAAAATTATATTTTAATCTGATCGAAATATAAAGATTGTTTGCATTACTTTTTCTTTTGCAGAAAATATCTCCCTAAACTAAATATGCTTTGACCAAAAGTATAGTGTGTTTAAGGGGTGGGGTTAAATACATATCTCATTTTCTACTAAAACACACAAAAAACATCAATACAAGTTCTTTAAAAGTTTAACCAAAGACAAATACAGTTAATTTGAGTTTTGTTTTGACTTTGTTAGTTGAGAATTAGGTCCACTAAGATTCTGAAACACAGATAACAAATGTGAAATTAGCATATGGCATAACTCAATGTAATAAAATTGATCAATTAGAATATATTTTTTTAATTGTTGGATCTAGTATATATCCAGTGTGTACATTATGATATCTTATTCATTTTTCTCGGGGACCCTGAGATGTAGGTATATTATCTCATTTTATAGATTAATATACTGAGATCAAGTAACACTTTCCCACATTGTAACTGATGAGATTAAAATTCAAACTCAGATCTTCCTCAATCCACAGTCCACTTTCTTTCCATTCCACTAATTTATTTCTCTCTATTTAAAAATCCTTAATGCTTCTGAGATTTTGACTCAATTTAAATAATTAAAATCCTCTGTCAGACCCTGTCAGCATGACTCAGTGGTTGAGTGTCAACCTATGAACCAGGAGGATTCAATTCTGTGGTCAGAGCACATGTCCAGGTTGCAGGCTCGATCTTCAGTGTGGAACTTGCAGGAGGCAGCCAATCAATGATTCTCTCCCATCATTGATGTTTCTATCTCTCTCTCTTTCTCTCCATTACTCTCCGAAATCAATAAAAACTACTTTAAAAAAAACCTCTGTCAGCTCTAAATATTAGTTACATGTGAGAAGCAAGGTTCAGTTATACCTGAAATATCTTATTTCTTCTCACTGTCTTTTATTTATGAAGTACAATTCTTATTGTAGTGCTAGTAGCCTGGTGCACAGATTTGTGCCCATTGAAAGGAAATTAATTAGAAGAAATAACAACACAATATAACAACACCAAAGACATGCTCTAAAAACAACAAAAACATGATATAAAAACAACATTGATAAAAACAATGACTGATAAACTGATTAAACTTATTCTAATATCTCCTTATATACCACATTAAGAGTAAAAATATTTTCAGAATGCTTGACTAATTTCCCTTGTGATGAAGTATTTACAACTTTAATGTCACACGCTCTTCGAACTCTAGAAAAAGCAAGATATAACTGACCATGTCTGAAAATTGGTTCAGGTAGGAATATTCCTACTCTGTCTAGACTGGCACCAGTGAGAGCTTTATATGAATTGTGCATGCGCAAGTCAACGTTTATTTTTAAATTGCCAGTGTGCATCATATGTACTGGCCGGCCAATCTTTGTATACACAAAGACATATGCTATAATATTATTTATTATTAGAAAAAACAAATGGAACAGCCTACATGTTATATAATAAAAGTGGTTAAGTAAATTTGGTATAGCCAGAGTCATTTATGTAGCAAGAAACTAGAATTCATGAAAATATTGGCATATATGGGAACATGTTTCTTAATTATAGTGGGTAGAAAAGTATGATTGCAATTATAGAAACTTCATGAAAGATTAGAGAAAAATAAATCCCAGTATCAATGGCATTAGTGGAATTAATTATAGGTAATTTCTTATGTTTTTCTTTATATTTTTAATATCTCTTATAATGGCAATTCATTACTTGTCTGATAATTTTAACATAAGCATACAAATAATTAAAGTTACATGCTTAATTTCATTTCTTCTTCTCTCTGAGCCTTGCATTGACATGTGATGTCAAATATCCTGAATAAATACTTACTTAGCACATGCATCCACTTGGAATTCCTCATCTGAAATAGTTACTGTTTGTGGTACATTGACTTTAACTTCAAACTTAGGCAAGACTGGAAACAAAGAGAAATATAGTTGAGCCCCTACAAATACTGGAGAGGAGAATTTATTACAATTACATAGCTAGATATGGTTCTATGCACCATATTTTCCTCTGTGTACATCTGTATACACCATGTTTCAGTTGCCCCAAATTCTGTGCACTAGTAAGTGACGGTGTCTCATTAATGATTATTTCCCTTTCCTTCCTCTTCTCTATTTTTATAACTTTACATTTATTTGTTGTAATACTTCCCAGAAGATTGTGTAGATTTTATAAAATGAGATATTTCTTACAAAGTAAAGGCAAGGGTCAGAAAAAAGGATGAAGGCAAGGAGTGAGGAGCAAGAAAGATAATAAAGCAGAAAAGGCCAAGAAAGGAAGATGGGAGGACACCAAACAAAGCTCCACCTACTTTTTCTAATTCTAACATAAAAGCTACTTTGTCAAGTCCTCTGAAAGCTTAATTTATACAGAACAATTATAAGTAGCAACTGGTTACCATATCTATTAACGGTAAATGGGTGTGTCAATGTCTTTCCTGATGCCCTATTCACAATGATAGAGTATTCGCCAAACATTGGTTCTGAAATCAATCTGAATGAGAGTTGGGTAATATTTTGAAAAGGAGCCACGTTTTTCCATTGAAAAATCCCATTGTTTTGAGGATCCTAGAAAATAAAGAAGAAATAAAAACAGAGGTCATATAAGAGTATTATCTTTTCCTTCTTCATTTGGGTACTTTCTGTAATTATGCGAAGTAAAGCTTTTTCATTGTATTGAACTAACTAGAGGCTTCAGCTACATTTAGATACCATACTGCACAATATCAAAGATCTGAATTAGTAGAAAGAGACTCCATTAACTTTTTCCTGAAAACCAAAATTCTATTTTATAATAATAAAATCACCTTCTTAGCTAATTTCTAAATTTGTAGGTGTATATGCTTTCTATTTCTTTAAAATAACATATGGCTAAATTAGGATTAAGCAGGGCCAGCAGCCAAAATTAAGCAATTTTAAACATAAAACTCCTTTAAAAAGAGCTCAATCTTTTCTTTTCCTTGAAAACTTAAGTTACTGCACTTGTCACACAGACTATACTAAAAACGACAGCCCTTTGTTTAGTTCTTCATCGGATGTCTTATATTGTGTATATAAAGATTTTCTCCTCCGCTATTTCAGTTATCTTAACTTGTAACTATGCATAATGAAAACTAGACACAAATCACTATTTATCTGAATATTTAAAATAATAGAAATGAAAAAAAGATTTCTTACCTGAAGTGTGATTAAAGGATACTGCAAGAGGGGAAAAAAAGTAGGTTAATATTGTAATAGTGCACTGTTTTTTCGCCACATATTGCATTTATGAAGATTATTTGACCTAATTTAAGTATTGAGACTTCGCTCTCATTTTCCCAGAGGGCAAAAGGTTTCATGCAACCCATTCTTACATGATGAAAATCTTAAATAAATAGAAATTAACTCATGATAAATGAAAGTTTTATGTTTAAATTTGAGGTTTAGCAATGAAACTATAGCTATATAGTTCGCTATGTTAGAATCTATTTTCATACTTATGAAAAACTTCCTGATGACACTTTCTATAGCAATAGATTTGTTTAACTTGCTTAAATTTCAGTGTATCATTAGAAATTATTGAACTCACCAACTCCTCAACAGGTTTGAACTTGGTATTCAGTGTCACAATACGAATTTGAACTAAAAGAAAAGAGGGGCGGGGGCAATATTTTTTCTTGTTATTTCTCTCCTAGGTATAGTTGTTTACAAATAGACATAGAAATAAATTGCCTTCCTATCATAGAATACTGCTCTCCCTTCTCCCCTAGCTCTGATTTGATCTTATCTTATTGCGCCATTGTAATTCCTCTGCTGATGACGCTGGTTGCTGCGAAAGCTGACACTAGCTACTGCCACCACCGGAATTTGTGGCAGAATGAGTCATAGAAGGAAAAACGTGAAATATGTATGGTAGGAGTTAAACATAATTTTTCTGGGAAAAATGTATTGATGTTAACAAACATTACAGTATATTAATTTGAGCAGAATTCTAGAAAACCATCTTAGCTATTTTTTTACACAAGCCTGTCCATCATAGCATTTTAGTAACTCCAGAGAGAGAATATAATGCAGCAAAAAATCTCACTATATAAATTCTGTTTCAATTCTTTTGTTTCTTTTCAATAAATCAAACAAAATCTATAGTTGCTCTCGTTTAACCTTCTATTTTACATCTCTAAGATCAGAATTTGCTTGGCAAAGGCCAATAAATCATTAACAAAGTCAAGACAAAAACGAATTCTTTTGAGTCCTTGGTTAGTGTTCTTTATGCTATCTTCTACTTAGAATAACAAAGAAAACAGAAGGGCTTTGCTTTGGTTTTCAGATTTATGATTACTTCTACCGAAATGGACAATAATAATAGTGATAATAAATGTCATTTACGGAGTCTTTACTGTGTCCTAGGTGCTGCTTTACATTAACGATCTGATTGTATCCTCACGATATTTGTATAAGTGAGATATTTTGATTATCGTCATTCTACAGATTTAAAAAGTTGAGTCTAAATAGAGATTTAACTAGTTTACCCAAATGGTAAATTATGGAGCAACAATTCAAACCAAATAATTTTGTTCTACATCCCATGCTTTGTAACCATCGTTTTATGTATGCCTGTCACTAGAATTTGTACAAAGTAAAAGTGGCATGCAAAATTTTAAGAAGCAAAGCATTCAATTACTGGAGCTTGAAGAAATTATTGTATAATTGACCTACTCAACCAGTAAAAATTCTAGAGATCCACGATTCTATAACATTAAGGATAAATTTAAGACTAAAATTCCTATGTTTGGGTTGCCCTAAATTTTAAGAATGTGTTCATAAGGTCAAGGATACAAAGGAAATGTGAATATTGACTTACCATTCTCTCCAGGTTTGTAGATGGGTTTATCTGTCTGCACGAAGGTTACTGTCTCTTCTGAAACGAGTGCTACGGACCGCCTCTCAAAGATTTCAATAGTATCACCCTTAGCCAACAATGTCACAAAAGCTAACTGTTCAGAGGACTTTTGAGAAACCTGTTTATGTTGAAGAACAGAGAATGGGACAATTATCTGTAGACGTTAAAAAGGTGAACAGTCTCTTAATTTGGGTTCTCAGTCTGAGAGCATTTTAAGATCATTATTTCTTAATGAGAGACTGTGATTACTTGTTTTAATTTCTTTATTTTTTTTAGTATGAAAACAGTTCTTAATAAACTTCTTTTTATGCCTTCTTGCCTTCTATTTGTTTGTTGCCCCGAATTCCAATTCTGCTTCCCTTTACCTAGATTCTGTTTTCTCATATTGTTGAACAGCTCTATCAAAAAGCAGTAATTACATTTAATCACTCCATATAATAGAAAAAGGTAATATCTCACACATTTTTTGCATATGTTAATTTTCATTTTGTTTATTGCCTCAGAAATTCTCTTGTTTTATTCCCTAGCTTCCATAAGTCATCTGAAATCAAGATTTGTTATGCCTCTAAAATGAAATTTTAAATAATAATTTCATGTTCCCATTCAAAGTTCTGAAATGGCAAATCAGTGCCTCACCTGGAAATCTGCACAAGCATAGAAGTTCTCCTCCTCCACAGGCCGGTCAAAAATAGTGACATTGACTTCATCATACTCTAGGACAATACTCAAGGATACAGACTCATTCAGGTTTAAAAGGTGGAGACAGGCTTTTTCTGGAGAGTGACTCTGAATCACAGAGGAGATCCATAGAATATATTGCCTAGATAGGAGAAATGCAGAACACGCATAAAAGGCAACGTTAGCTTATTGAAATGGTCCTGAAATAGACACATCTTTCATTACAATGAATGCTAAGTACACAGAGAGAGGTATCTTAAAAAATATGTCCATTCCCTTTATACACTTGTTTAAAAATTTATAAGGCAAACCAGCACTCAGTCTCAGAAGTGGTAAAGTATCAAATGCTAACACAGAACAGGTTTAATGAGGTCTCCGCTAGTACTTTAATATGAATAGAGAGTATAATATTCCCTTACGGTTCTGAAGCCAGAGCAACAGTAAAATGAAGCCAAAAGGTGCTCAGAAGCAGGGTGAGCACCATTTTATCCCAATGCCCGAACAAGAAAGAGTTCCCTATAACTATTATCTCTGTCTCTTTGTCTCTCTTTTTCTCTTATTAGAAGACAACTGCCTCAACTCTCCCCTGTCTTTCCTTCCTTCTACTCTGCCCCTCTCTGTATAGTGTTGCTTTTATAGCCACACAACGAAGGATCAATTACTTTTTTTGGAGCAAGTATCATAAGAACCATCAATCACACTTGATCGCCTTTCCCATTATTTTCCAGGGGTTGTTACTTAATATAGGACTTCCTTCTTAAATTCACCGATGCTGCTGTTTTTGGAATTAGCTGTAGAGGCTGAACAGGAAGAAAGAGGAAAACAAAGAAAGCAGTTGTGTGACACTTAGGAGTTCATTAGTTTAATTTAGTATCTTGCTCACAGGGCTTACCGCGGTACCAAAAGCATAAATTTGTAGGAATTAGCACATGAAAGAAAACTGCCCCTCTAAGGAGCTGTGGCTAGGACAATTCCAGAAAGGTAAAATTTCCAGGCTTCTGAGAGAAGTAGCATATCTGATGTTGCCAAAACCTAGATACAAATAGATATCTCAATGCAGACTCATTTTACAGATAATTGAAACTGTTAAGTCATGCTTTTATAATTTCATAATACAGAATACAGCATTTAAAAAATTGCTATGCATTCAACATTTACTATGACTTTCTTTTGTTACAATGTTCAATATCCTTTTTTACCTTACATATAAGAAAAAAAAAGAAAGAAAATGTGTTGAATATGTGTGCATGCATACACACATACTAGTCACTTCTGGTAGAAATGAAAAAGATTTAATGTCATTTTGATTGTAAACCATTTCTACCAGGAAAATGAGCCATACCAAAGTAGCTGGTAAGCTCTTGACAGCGTCCAGTGTGATAATTCTTCCTTCATCATGTTTTCTTTAGCATCCTTTCTAGTTCAAATATAGATGGAGTTATTATACTAGGTAACAGAAGACAGGAACTGGTGTCAGCCTTTTAGAAATAGGCTTGCAACAGTGCAACAGCAAGTACAAAGGAAAAAAAAAAGGACATAACCAATTATAACAGACTAGAGGCCCGGTGCACAAAATTTTGTGCACTCGGGGGGAAGGGGGTGTCCCTCAGCCCGGCCTGTGCCCTCTCGCAGTCTGGGACCCCTCGGGAGATAACA